ATGCATAGAGGAGAGCCTTCACTAAAGAGCATCCTGCACTCAGTTTTCACATGATTGCACAGGTTTGAGGAGAGCAAGCCCAAGAAGTGTTCAACGCTGTGTTGGGTGTTTCCCTATACTGTATATCCAGCTTAGTGAACTTGGATCTCTTCCGACTCCATTTATTGCTTTATTGGTTGGGAACAGGTCATTAAAACTCTGTTTTTAATCAAACAGGCAGCGCAGGAACTGGAGTCATGTTCAATGAGAATGGAGATGCTCCCGGTCGGTACGACATCTTCCAGTACCAACTGTCTAATGTCAGCAACCCCGGCTACAAGGATATTGGTCAATGGACAAATCACCTCCGACTCAATGTAATCAATTTATTTGGTCCATTTTAGTTTACTTGAACTTGTAATTGTTATAGATTTTGAAAAATACACGTACCTACTTTCTTGCAGACAGTTGAATAAGATTGAGGCCACTCTGCATGTCTTCAGACTAACTAAGTAGCTAGAGCTAGCAGTGGGTTAGTTCAGCTTGGCATAAATACTTAAAACAGGTGTAACAAAATCTAGCTACCAACACTGCTGACTCTCATGAAATAACATGTGAGTTATTGTATGACGCGTACAAAATAATTATTGTGTTGAGGGTTATGTACCAGACTTATCTTATCTTGACTGGGCAATTGATCTTCCTGGAATTAACTGTCTGGGTAACTTTTTCCATCCAGTCTTTATGCTAAGCTAAGATGGCTCTAGCTACATAGTTAGCATATGGAGACACTTGGAGTACTGATCCTGAAAGAATAATTCCCAAGATGTTAAAGACATAGTATGGCACATAAGCCCTTTGGAATACTACAGAATTGGGTTTTTATAAAATATTAATTTGTGAAGTTTACACGTTCTAACTGACACATTTAGTTTCCCAAATGTCAAACTGTAAAGTTACATTATTTGTAGCTGATTGTAGCCTTTTTGCTCACTTCAAACAAATTAATCCATGTTTGTATCTACTCCAGGCTGAGGAGATGCAGTGGTCAGGTGGTGACCGCAAGATCCCCGAGTCGGTGTGCAGTTTCCCCTGCGAGTCTGGTGAGAGGAAGAAAATGGTGAAGGGTGTTCCCTGCTGCTGGCACTGCGAGCTCTGCGATGGCTATCAGTACCTTCTGGATGAATTCTCCTGTGACATGTGCCCGTTTGACATGAGGCCCCTGAAGAACCGCACTGGGTGCCGGTCCACACCCATTATTAAGCTGGAGTGGAGCTCTCCCTGGGCCATCATCCCCGTCTTCCTGGCCATCCTGGGCATCCTGGCCACCACCGGAGTCATTGTGACCTTCATACGTTTCAACGATACGCCCATTGTGCGGGCCTCAGGCAGAGAGCTCAGCTACGTGTTGCTGACGGGCATCTTCCTCATCTACCTCATCACCTTCCTCATGATAGCTGAGCCCAGTGTGGCCGTGTGCGCCTTCCGCAGGCTGCTGTTGGGGCTCGGCATGTGTATCAGCTATTCTGCCATGCTCACCAAGACTAACCGAATTTACCGCATCTTCGAACAGGGCAAGAAGTCGGTCACTCCTCCGAAATTCATCAGCCCCACCTCTCAGCTGATTATCACCTTTATACTCATCTCAGTACAGGTAAGTGGGCTTATCTCACAAAGATTACAAACATCTTTTGCAGCTCTCTCACACTCCTTTCTCTGCAGTTACTTGGGGTGTTCATCTGGTTCGGTGTGATGCCCCCCCACACAATCATTGACTACGAGGAGCAGAAGCCTCCAAACCCAGAGTTTGCCCGAGGAGTCCTCAAGTGTGACATGTCCGACCTGTCCCTCATCCTATGTCTGAGCTACAGTATCGTACTGATGATCACCTGCACGGTGTATGCCATTAAGAGTAGAGGAGTTCCTGAGACATTCAATGAGGCTAAGCCCATTGGCTTCACCATGTACACGACCTGCATCGTCTGGTTGGCTTTTGTACCCATCTTCTTTGGGACGGCACAGTCAACTGAGAAGGTGAGAAATTCAACATTTTCACCGGCATCACTGGTTCTGTTACTGAAATTTAAAAAGATTATGAAGTATAATCTCAGCTCAACTGGCTCGTTCTTCAGTTTTAAACCTAGTCCTAGCTCTTAGCCTTGACCTGAAAGTGCTTCGGACTATGGGAAGTTTGAACATACATTTTAAAGGAAGCATGTGCTGAGAAATAAGATAAACTGATAGTGAAGCTCAAGCAAATGAATCCCTCTGAAATTGGAGATTGTTGGCCATCATATCATATTTGGCTCCTGCTGTACTCAAGAGTTTAAATTAGCTAGTGGGGTATTTTCTGCCATCACTTAGTACAAGTCTGTTGGAGGAATATTAGAAAAATAGAGTTACGCTTTGACGAATAGAGAACGGTATTATGAATCAGTCAGGCAGAAACAATTAAAGCCTGAGGTGCTTTCAAAGTCTTTTCACCTCCTCCAAATGGATATGAAGTGAATTAAGAAAAAGAGGGAGAGGAGAATAAAGGAGGTCAGAGGAGCTTAGGGACGATAGGGACCCTTCGTAGACCAATTCAGCCATCCCATTCAATTAATCATTACTTAGAAAAAGAGCTAAATATAGACTCTAACTTTTGTCTGGCTCGTGAAAACAGCAGCTCTTATGCTCCCATCACGTGTGTGCCCACATAGAGGAGGAGGAGGCGATTTACCTGCTCCATGTTTGCATTTTCATATTGAGGAACCATTCAATGATTCTGAGCAGGTCTCTCGTGTTGCCTTGGGCCAAGCCGTAAATTCAATCCATCTACCAGATGAATCACCACGGTTCCTTTTAGAATCAAGAGGTCAATGAGAGTGAGCGACAGAAGGCAAGACGATCAAAGCAATTTTAATTTGCGGACATCAGCCTGTGAGATACCAGGATGTGCTGCTTTGGCTGAGGATACTGTACAATTTCTGACTTATTTATAACACAAATATATCTTATTTATGGCATGTATGGCTTGATTTATTTATGACCTGTACAGTTTGCTTGAATAATGAGTTCATAATTTATTGGAGGCAGATCTCAGGAGAACTCACTTCTCATTATTACTGTTGGAGTTTCGCAATAGGAGGAAGAGCGGTGAGGAGCAGACATGGTCAAAGCCCATAAATAGAGCCTCCTTTCCTGACTACATATACCAGGTCATAAATCATTCATCAGAGGAAAAACACTGCCTCCTGTGCTTTGAGATAAAAAAGACAGCTTTGTGACAAGCTATGAGATTACAAGTGTGTTTTATTTGAGCTGCATTATAACGAGAATCAATTATTAACTGCGCACCTATGTATAGTTTAAGCCATTGGTTGGAATTAACAACTTGTCCAGTTGTAATAACCGAAGGTGGGTATTCGTCCATTCCACTGACCTGCCGTGTTTCTGCTGCAGATGTTCATCCAGACCACCACACTGACGGTGTCCATGAGCCTGAGTGCCACTGTGTCCCTGGGCATGCTCTACATCCCCAAGGTGTATGTCATCATCTTTCACCCGGAGCAGAACGTCCAGAAGAGAAAGCGCAGCTTCAAAGCTGTGGTGCAGGCGGCCACCGTGTCCACGCACCTGTCCCAGAAGTCCAACGACAAGCAGAATGGAGAGTCCAAGATCGTGCCGGACAGATCACAGTGAAACAAAGAGTCCATGTTTCCTCATCTTACGCAACAAACCCACAATGTGCTGGTGTGTTGGCTGGATTCATTTGTCTCTTCTCCCCATCAGCTATGGATTGAAACACCAGCAAAGACATTCTTGTTCACACTTAGATTCCTCAGAACTACTGAGACTGGCATGAAGCATAAAAGGAAACAAACACTCAACAACTTATTGTCAAAATTACGTGGGCTCTGAGAGGATGTTGCAATATTATTTCTTTTTGTATCAACATCCATAGATGCACCTCAAATTGAAAATAGGTCATTGTTAGTGTTAACTCTCCTTGGGAGATGCCGTCTTGGAAAAAATAAGTTGAGCTTAAACAGCAACCTTTGCTCTACAGGAAGATGTGCGTGTGTGGAGCCCCTCTGGGTTGAAACGTTGTTTGTCATCTCTAAAAGCACTGCATGGATTGTGTTTTATGTGAATTTTTTTGAAAGAGTGTTTGTTTGGGTTAAGGGAGGGGGTGTCGCAACTTTTTCTTCTGATTGCACTGGAAGTTAGTAGCTTTTAAAACGCACCATAACGTCCTGTTACTGTTTCTGATTAACTCCTGTAAGAGGGTAAAATTCATCACTGGACTAAAACCTCTGACAGAATTATTCAATATCCAATCTCCAACACATCAGTGTTTTGTTGAAGGTGGTGTTCATATGTACGATCATTATGGCACAGGCTGATTCTCCTGGTGGAAACAGTTAATTCATGGTGATTGGTAACAGGATATCTATCTTCAGGTACTAATACTTTTCCACAGAGGAAAACAATTTTTGGCATTTCCCCATATTGTCAAGCAAAGCTGCTCAGGCAGTTTGTGTGGCACGATGCCAAACTCATAGACAAGCTGCTGTTGTGTTCATGCATGGGAACCTTGTCAGAAAGCTTCACTGCATCGGTTGTATTTGATTTTGTGCCATGAAAGCTTTTCTAAATTCTCATTTCTGCAAACATTCTAATACAGTTGGCATGAGGTAATTCCTAAAATCTACAAGTCCATTTATTTAGGTGTTTATCTTTTACGGTGTACTTTCTGTTACTTGATCACTATGTACAACTCAGGTTTTTACTGAAGGTGTTTCGACAAAGGTTTGTCTCGAGGAATACCTTCTGTTCCGTTGCAGCTGTTTCAACAGGAGCAACTACAGTCGCCACCATGTGCGGTGCATTTTCCCTCATGGTGCAGGACTGGGATTCATGTCCTCATGTGAGAAAACACTGTTTGTACTGCCCTCTGCAGGAGTGCACACCTCAGTGAAATGTTTGTGAATAAAAGCACAGTCAAGAGGGAATTGTTTGTAGACCCCACACAAACCTTAATTAAAAAAAAATATTGTTTATTATTTTATCTGGGTTTCATCCGGCAAGTCCATTACAACTAAAAGAACACCTATATTATATTCACATGTTGGTGTTCATGGAAAGAGTTTTACTGTGAAAAATAACGAATAATTATTTTTCAGACGTCAGAATAGAGATGTGTGATGATCAGTGACATAATACTGTCCTACTGACTATTGAATGGTCCAAAAAGAAGTTAGTCTCTGAGGCACAGACACACAACTACAAAAAAAAGGCTCCTAAGCAAAGCCTGGACAAGACTGAAGTCCTGACATAGATATTCAAACTAACACACACACAAGAAATCTGTGCCAGAGCAGGACCAGCAAGTCATCCGGGGGGGGGGGGCGCGTGCTCACTCGAGGAAGCTGTCCAGAGTCAGGCACGTTTCAATCCTGGGCGGAGGCCTGGTCACCTTCTTCCTTTTAGCTTTCATCAGCGGGCGGATCTCTGATAGAGGAGACTGGAGTGGATGGTTGAGGAATTATGCACAAATGTTTAAGCAGTTTTTTTCTCATCTGCTTTTCTCTTTTACTGTTCTTTGGCAACCTAAAATCACAGCAGCTAGTATAATACAAATTAATTTATATTTATTGGCATTTATTTGTTCTTTGCCACCTGACACATCAGATATACGCTCTTTAAACCCCATTTCGATCTTCACCAACTCCAAAGGGAAATATCTGACTCTTTTCTAAATTTACAATTAAGTTTAAGCAGCTAGTTGCAACATCGTCAGTTTGCTGCTTGATAGATAGATAGACGCTTTGTTGATCCTGAGGGAAATTTAAGGGCGATTTTGTTGGTGCTGGGTAGCTAATGTTGGTCTATATGTTTTTTGTAGCTGAAAACAACTGAATGCTGCTGCTGCTAAAAATTGGGTTAATAAAGAGTCTAAACCCAAAACAACGCAGTATAAAAGATAATTAAAGCAGCTTTAAATTTCTGATGATAGCTTTACTGCGTGTCATAAACAGGCACTGTTTAAAAAAACTCCACTCTCTTCTCAGGGGTTATTTCAAATAAAGAAACAGCTGTTAGAACACAAATATTTCACAAGACAGAAAACAGGATACAGGTTGGATGAATTTAGTTCGTCCTCCTAATCCATCATAACCAGTTCTCATCTGAAATAAGAAATGGTTTCTTTAGTAAAAGTACAAATGTCATATTAGAACATGCAACTTTCAGCAGAGGGTTGTACGTACCACTCCAGGCTTCCTCTGAGGGTCCAACATGCTGCCAAATGTTTTCTTTCTGAAGAGGAGGGAGTTCCTCATAAACAGATCCATGGATCCATCCTCTTGTTGAGCCTGAGGTACAAGAAAACTATATATTAATGACTCAAATATATACACTAGATTTTTAAATAGACCTTGTTAAGAGACTTTCAAAAACATACCTTTGTTGAAGTTAAACTTTTCTCATTGTGTTTAGATAAGGACATTCTGAAAATGAAGGGTTTTACAGACAGTTTTAGTTTAGAAACACAGAACTCACTAGTCTCAGCTTCCACAACCTCCTCAGAACAGAGAAACACACGAGTGACATAAGACTTACACTGGAGGGTCAAGACGCATCTTCTTAGACGGGACCTGTGACGGTCTCTTGGCAACATCATCCGGTGTAGAGACGTCATAGGTCATATTGAGGTCAATGTCCTCGCTGTCTGCAGGCTGGTGAAGGCGAGGCTGCTTCAGCTCCATGGGGGCCGGGCTGAAAGGTAAGCAGAGAAACGTCATCACTAAAATCACATTTTGTATTTCATGAAAAAAGTGAGGGGGCATCAGTCCAGTGGCAGCATTACACACACCTTTCAAAGACGAGCCGACTAAGGGTTTCGTTTGTCCGCGTCGGTGTGCTCAGGGTCTTCTGAAGAAACTCCACTTTCTTCCTCAGACTCTGGAGAGAGACACTTGAAGATTTCTTAACAAATAACTTTTTTTATAAAACAAACTGAAAATGTGGCAGATTTGCTTACAGAGATCTCTTTGTCTGCATTTGACAGATCATTCTGCAGAGACTCCATGTCCTTCTTGGACTGATTCATCCCAATTGAGGCTTTTTGTAACTGAAATCACACAGAAATCACAAAAAAAGAAAAAAACATCAGAAATGTAAGGTTTAATGTCAGTTCCTCTCATGGTGATTGGTCACTCACTCAGATAATACCTTGTTGTTTGAGGAGAGCACTTCTCTCTTGAGCTTCTCGCACATGTCATTTGAAGATTTCAGGCTTCCTTTGAGATTATCATACTCTCTGAAAAGGGGCAGGAGCAGGTTAATGTATTAATTAAGACTAAAGTGATAAAGTCAAAACGACAAGCTGTAACTTAGGCCCTATACAGACCTGGTATCAACATCCATCCTGAGAGATCCGATCACTAGTAAGTATCACACTTGGTATTAAAATGGGGACTGAATGTGTCTCCTGTGGCGACTTGTGATTGGTTCTCACTTCTCTGCTCTATAGGCAAATAAACATGTACGTCATATGTGTTCGAATAGAAAAAATTATGTTTTTATTCTGTTACAGCTTATGGATGTGTCCAGTGTCACTATGTGTCGCGTGTGTGTGTCAGTGCAAGCAAGAGAGAGAGAGGGCCATCAGGAGGGCCTGACTAAATATTGTGCAGCTGCTGTGAAGAAAGATATTACTAATTTAAGAAAAGTATCAGTCGTTTTTTGTTGGTCAGTGTTGATATTGTTTCCATGGCCACAGACAAATCAGCATATGGTAAAAATATGTTAGATTAATTATAAAAGTGTAGTAGGTCAGAGGACTCAGCTGAGTAGTCAGTCTTTCATATGTGGTCCAGGATGGATTTGTGTTCTGCAGCAAAAAGAATGTAGCCCCATGTGTCCCAATGTGGTCTGAGTGATTTGATCTCAGAACGCATTTGGCCGCTGACCCCTTGGGATCTGATCACTCAGGACGGATGTTGATACCAGGTCTGAAGTGGGTGTTCGTGACTCCATCAACACAATTGGACTCTTTACTTCTTGAGAGAGATGCAGTAGATGGAGAGCTGCTCCATCGCTGCATGGCTGACACCCATATCTGTGATCATGGACTCCACCTCTGTTCTCTGACCCTGTAACAACACGTCCAGGCTGAGGGACAAAATGGCAGAGTTAGTTTCCAGTTTTCAGACTTTCTTATACAATAAAAGAAGAGACAGTTCCATGCAAAGGTTGTTCATCGAGGTAAATTATCAAAGAATATCTATCTATCTATCCTTGCTTACATATATCTGTATATTTCATTTAATTATAGTGATTTTACAATATTAAAATGCTTAAGACAATTAAAACATTTTCCCACAGTAATTATTAAAATGTGGCCCGAGATGATGTGACTGTGGACACCTTTCAAAGGTTTTCATCTTGGTTCTGAGTCTGCGGATCTCTTCCTTGGCAGCCTGAACATCATTCTGTTGTGTCTCCAGGTACATCATCTGCTTCTGTAAGTGACCAAAACATTATACAGGTAAATAATGACAGTATGAGAAAGTATCAGTCAGTATGGAGAATGAGTTTAAACTAGGAAGAACAGACAGCATACTCTTAGTGCAGAGCAGAGCATGTCCTTTTCCATGATCTCTTTCTTCGTGGTTTCCAGGTCTCTCCTCTGCTTGTCAACTGTGTCCTTCAAACTGTCCATCCCCTTCTGTTTGTCCCGCCAGTCTCGCTCTACAAATTAAGCAGACAGATTAACTACCACTATACACTTAAAATACTCAGGCGTCATCATAGTACAGCTTAGTTTCTTACCTTTAGAGCTTAAAAGCACCTTAATTCGATCCAGCTCATTCTAAGGATTAGAGAAACACAATGAGATGACATCCAGATGATGTGATGGAAAATATAAATTTTTCTTGGCAACCATTTTTCACACTATTTCTGACTAAAAAGTGTTGATTCCACTGGTCTAAGGTTGGTTGTTGTGAATTGGGTACCTGTAAGCTTTCGGGGTCTGCTGCTGGGGCCCCCTCCTCTCCACCAACATCAAAGAACAGCTTGCTGATTATGTGTCTGGTGCTGACCTGCACACACAAAGCACAGTAGGCTTAAGCATTTCTTGTTTTTCTGGCAAGTAGGAGCAGTGCAGGTTATTGTTAGCTTGCTGATTTCTAGAAGAGTGACTATTTGAGATTTCTCTCCGATGGAATGCTGTTATTAAGGAAGTTTTGTATGCATAAATGTAGATACTTCAAAATAAAACCTAGTTTCAGCCATTGAAAGAATTTTTTTAAATCACAGAAATGACTATATATGTTTCTGTTTATATGTGATAGCCCTATTTCTGGTTTTATTCATGATTGTTGTTTTCTTGTTATTTGTACATAATTTTCTTTTTGTTTGCTTACCCTGAGAAATAATTATTTGATGAAGAAAACATACTTGTAATTGAATTAAGGTTACTGTACCTGTTTCCTGCACTGTGGACATGTTTTTGTGGGGGCTATCTGAAACCACTGGAGGAGACTGAGGACAAATAGGACAGGGAGAAGTTAGCAGCGGTTAAAATGTGTCAGAGCTGAAAGTTGAAATGCTGTTGAAGATTTGACTTCGTGTACCACTCATAGTGGAAAGTGTGTCCGCAGTGGATGGCAGCAACATCTCTGGAGTGATCGAAGAAATCGGAGCAGATAGTACACAGAGCTCTGATAGGCATCCTGACGTAGCAAGGATCGTCCTGTAACGACTTTACAGAAAAAACAGTTAAATAAACAACCGAGTAAACAAACAAATATATGTATCCTCTCCCCACGTGTGTGTTTATAACAACAAATGACACACTGGGCTACACATGGAACGATAACATTACACAACACGCTTATGTCCCATTACACTCGGCTATGTTAGTTAGCTGAATGCTTACTTCAACCCTATCAGTCGTCACCATACTTACCAGTCGAATATGTTAAGTTACTGCACAGTCCTTTGTTGTGAAGAGAAACACCCTACACTTGTCTGACTCATTTTAATATTTAACCTGTTAAAGTTGTGTCATGAGGCAGAAGCTAACCAGCTAGCTTAAACAAACACAATACATCTCTTCCGTAGCCGCGCCATACGTTTGAACACAAGCCCCGCCCCCGTCCTCTTCTTCTGTTTGCTCTGCAAGAAGCTGCGTTCAGGTGCAGCCACAAATCCTCCGAAATATCAGCTACTACATACACGGTTGCTTTTAAAAATGACTGAGGGATTTTAAACAGTAAAGTGAAAGCAAAACTTTTATTTCGAATCAAGTTCATTAGGGACCACATGTATGATAACACAATAATAGCCTTTTAAAAGATGTAACATATATTTTTCCATCCGGCACATGCACATTCAGTGTAAGGAAGTACCTAAAAGAAAAAAACACTTTTACAGATATTAACACTTTATAAGAATAACATGTGTTATTTGTTTTCGTTGCTCCTCGGATATTAATAAATCATTAAAAGTAATTCCCTTAATAGCATCTATTCATTTTGTTATTTTGGTACTGGAACTGGAACAAGCTTAGTGGAGTGATGCAGAATAATGCACCATCAGCATCAAATAAGGAGCTTTGGTGAATCTAACATGAAATAATACATGAAAATAGCTGTAAAATGTATTTTTATTTAATTCCAACCAAATTAGCCCAGTCATTCCTCGCTCCACAGAGCGGTCTTCTGGAAGAGAACTTCATATCCCATAATTCCTACTTCCGCCCTGATTTGGTTGACTAGCCAGTAAAGTGCCTCAGTCTTGTGTCTGTGCTAGTTAGCTAGCTGCTAACGTGGAGCTCACCAACCTAATGTAGACAGACCCGGAAATGAAAGGTAAACATTTGAAAACAACCCTTGAAACAAACGTGTCAGTGCGAGGGTGGTTAAAGCAGACACACAGCTAGCTCAGTAGCTTTAAACACTGTTGATTATGTGCTACAGTTAGCATTTAAATTGCCTTCCAAAGTTCTATATCTGCATGTCGGACGTGTCTCAGAGACTGAAGAGTGTGATCGTTACATGATTTATAGAAAGACAGAGGATGTAAACATGAATTTAAAAAGCGTGATGTACAGTCGAAACATGTCAGCCTCGTATGTTTACAGGTTTAGTTTCCCAGCAGTCACTGCACGTAGAGAACATGTCTGTTAAAGTGTGGATCATAAAGTTTGAGTGATTCACGCCTCAATAACAGCAGCACACAATCAGTTTGACCTTTAATCACAGCCTCTGTCTTAGGTTTTTGACCTTTGGTCCCACAGCTGTCTGTCTGTCTGTCCTGCCAGGTGTGTGTCTCTGCCATAAGCAGCCGCAGTGATGGATGGTGAAGCCCAAAGGGCGAGTGCATCTTGGGAGAATGGCTCTCTGGCTCCTTTGGACCACCTTCGCACTGAGAGGGGGGAAAGCCCCACTCCAGGTCTGGTGGAAGGAACTGAACCAGGTGAGGCTGCTCCACACTCACAACGCTCCGCAGAGAAGAGCTCAGACAGACCTGTAACTTCCCAGATCTCAAATACACTGTATGAATTCATCAGGTTTTTATAAAGATCATTTTTAAGTGGAATGATAAGAAAACATCCGAAGAGCAGAGTTTCTTGTAGACCAGTGGGGTTACTGCACCTTGATACAGTAAAGGCTATAATCAGAGTTTCTCCTTTTAAGCCTACGGTGCAGCACATAAGTCTAAACTGAATGAATGTGAAATCAGTGTGGAGATCACTGACCACTGTCATGGACTTACTGTAGTCTGATTATTTAATCGAAAACCTTATTTTGTAAAATTATGGCACACTTGTAATAACAGTAACAGTCTCTAATACGTTTTAAAGCACTTTCTAAATAAAAACAGAGTTCATGTTTGATTTTATAAATTGTGGATGTGATACATTGAAATGCATCGACATGCATTGAGATGCATCGTTGTGAATCGAATCGTTGACTGCTGAATTGTAATCGAATCAAGTTGTGAGGCTGGTGAAGATGCACACCTCTACTATATACTGTGGTGGTGATACTAAGAGTATTATGTGGTGGCGAATCTCAGTCAGTGGAGACTGGAGGTACTGGGTGCTGTGGTGTTCTCTCAGTCTGAACGTCTGGCACAGAAGAGCCCTCCCAAACACTTTAAGGCTGGTTGAGCCTGTGGCTGAATGTGCTCCAGATGCCTCAGCTCAGCACAGAAAGGAAGATGAGATGGGTTTTCTGTGACAGCTCTCAGCTTCCCTCTCATCCTCTTCTCTCTCGCTGCTTCCTCTTTGCAGCAGAGCTGGCCTTCCTCAACCGCTTGTTGGGCACCACAGCGTTTAATCAATACTGACACCTCTTTCAAATATTTGCATAAAATGGAAGGGCAAAGACAAAGGATGGGATGTGACAAGCATATAAATAATTAAATACGTGCAAGTTAGGCCCTTGTGAGAGGTGGACATGCAGTTTGCAAGAGACAAAACTAACATTTGACGAGTTCACATTAAAAGCTACTATGCATAACTGACTGTAAAATTGTTTAAATCATTGATAAGTGAACATTTTTTTTTCAGAGTTGTTTTTCTGACTTGAGATGGCATTCACAATCATTTTCCCTGTCAATGTGAATGCTAAATCTGCATTTTACTGTAGAGGCCCCTCAGTGGTGTCCAGCCTTAGAAACTTGTCTCTCCTCTTGAATGTCCATCACAAGCTCTTCGTCTGATTTCCCAATATTGAGTTGAAAGTGGTTGCTGTTGCTCTTGCCCCATCCTTTGGAGTTTTCCATTATCAATCTCTGAAAACAAAGTCATCCGAGTTCCTCTGTACGGTACACAGAGCAGAGTCAAAGCAGATCCAGAGGTGTAGAGGGCGATGTTTCTTGTCCATGTTTGATTTGAGGCTTGTTGTTGTGGAAACAGCGAACCTTCACAACAACATTCTCCTCATCAGAAAACCTGAAACCCTCAGTGTCATCCCCATGGTCTTCCTGAAACAGCTCCTGGTCACTTGTCCTGAAACACTCCTATCAGGGCCTCCTCCGCCCCCACACATCACTGCTGCCAAAGGCTGCAGGTGATAGAAGTTGCATGTCATCTTATGGCTCATCCCCCATGGGATTATATCACATAACATCCAACCTGTGTACAGTACACAAGGGTAACGTTTACAGTACGCCAGTGTCCTTCTGAGTGAGCTGATCATGCATCAGTCCATGGATAAGATCCACCGTCAACCCAAAGTAATAACTCTTCTGCAAAACTAAAACAAAAAAATAGATGGCACTACACTCTAAAATGTAGCTTCTATGATTGCTGCTTGAATCATGAACCATGTTTATAGAAAAATAGACAGAAAATCTTTGCAGTGGTCAGTGTCTGCAGTAATGTTGGTTTCCATTGGCTGCATTCTTGTATCATGAAAAGAGCGTGCATGCTTCCAGTATGAGAGTAATCAACTTCCCTCATGGTGTTCAGTGAGTAGACATCCTGCTGACCAATAGTTGCTAGGCAACAAATGGGCACATAAACCACAATTACTTATTTTTAATCTCATGATGAAAAAATGTTCCATTTTGTTTGGTTACAACCATGCAATATTAGGGTTAGTACTGAATGTTTGTGTGAAAGAGAGAGAGACAGCATGAATATACACATCCTGTTTGTGTAAGGAAATCACAACAATAATGTCTTTTGTAATCTGCATGTCACTCAAACGGCCAAATTGTCGTCAGTGTTGGGTCAGTGGTCTTGTGATAAACTCTTGAATGTTTGACTTTATGAATAGACTGAGCGTCAGAATGCATCTTTAGTTCTGGGCTCTGTGAGATTTAAAATATACATTTCTGCTGAAATTGCTGGGGTGCTCTGCTAAACAAACTGAAAATATGTGATGTGAAAAGCCAAGATAGAAGGTTTTTGAAGTACTGAACACCTTCAATCACCGTTCATCTGAACAAGAAAGAACAATTTCAAAAGGTAGAAATATTTGTAAAAGGTTGAATCCAAGCATAAAGGTCCTGAAGCAGTTAACATTTTGATGTTTGAAAGGTTGAAATCTGCGGCATGCATCTCAGTGTGAATTTTGAGGTGCAGTTCAGCAACTCAGCATATACACTGCATCAGCAGGAAATGCAATTTGTAGTTATTATGTGATTCCGATGTGTGTTTGAAATTAACATTTTTGGTTATGTGTCTCTTTGAATGTTGAAAACCAAACATTGGTCACAAGTCAATCAGCAGATGTCACAGCTTTGTTTTTTAGAAATACTGAACAGATTGTATACATTTATTTTCTAAAGCTTTTTCATACCAACAATCAACTAGGAACTCGTATTCTCACATTCTCTTGCAAGAGCTGTGATAAAATATATATATATATATATAAATATATATATATATATATATATATATATATATATATCTACTGACTGACGACAGCAGCTCACTTCTGTCTCATCCAGCGCCAACAAATCCGACTCTGACAGGACAAATGATGTAACTTTGTCTGTGTTGCACTTTTCAATCTGGACACAAATTAAGGCTGTAATCTATCACAGTTGTTCTATTTTTCTCTTTCTCTTAATTAAATAAGCTGTGACCAGACGTCATTCATTTCTGTGGCTGCTCTGAAAAATGGCCTTTGTAGAAAAGGACGGTTCTTTTTTTGCTTCTTATAAAATGTTAATTCTTTGCAAAGCAATACAAGATACAATGTAAGATTTCAAGTCATTTGGAGGTTTTATCAGCCAGACTGTGTCACCCACTGCATGGGAGACTATCTTGAATGGTTCCTGTAGAGAAGCTGAGGGAGCTGGTTTTGTGTGCTGATCTCAGTTGAGGTGGGGCAATTATTTGCCAGTCCAACCAGTTAGTGTTTACCCTTCAAGTATTTTGTCTTTTTACTGCCGCCAAGAATGTTATGTTTGTTTTCATGTGCATATGTTTGTCAGCAGGCAGGATTATGCAAAAACTACTGGACAGGAACCAAAACCTGTGGTTTTGTCAGGATAGAACTTTTTTTCACTTTCTTTAAAATTGCATGTTTTTCCACATTTTTAAAGAATGATATGAGTGTCTGCAATTTGGTGCTGATCCAATTACAAATCTAGTCTATTGAATTTCAATTTAGTTACATAAAGGGCTTTGGTGGAGGTGTATGCTCCATGAGTGCCATTATAGTTGAATTTTGTTTGTAACCAATGTAAAGAATACATTACACTTAAAAACAATCTGGTTTCAAGCCATAGGTTTTACTTCCTGCAAGATACTTTTGGTTTTATGTGCTTAATCGTTCATTCATTTCACATCCATGCATCATACTGACCATCATTTGACCATCTTTTATCACTACATCAATGCAGGTGCCGGTCAGAAGAGTGCAATGTTCGTCCATGCACAGTCTTTCGAGGATCTGAGTGCAGAGGCTGAGAAAGATGCTCCCAGGGACGCTGAACTCGACAAATCAGAAGGAGAGCATGCAGAGGAGGAGCTCAAGGCGCTGGTGGGGGAAGAAAACATAGAGAAGCCACCCAACAATGCCAGTTCATTGGAGAGCAGGTCTAAGGAGGAGGATGTTAACAGTGATGCGTGGAGGAGTCACAAAAAACATGTGTTTGTGTTGAGTGAGGCTGGAAAGCCGATCTACACCCGCTACGGCACAGAGGAGGCTCTGTCCAGCACCATGGGGGTGATGATGGCCCTTGTGTCTTTTGTAGAAGCCAAGAAGAACATCATCCGCTCCATCCACGCAGGTCAGAATATAGGCTGCATCCATACTGCTATGTTTTCATTTGAAAACGTCATTTTTGAATCTAAAACAATCTCTGTCCACATAAGTGTTTTGGTTCTGTACCAGTTTATATCCCCGTTCATACTAAGACGACTAAAGACGCATATCATGTGACCACTCACATACACTGGGCATCAAAACATCTCTGTTTTAGCAGTTGATGTGTTTTCAAAAGAAAACGTAGTAGTGTGAATGTAGGCTAGGCTTTGCTGTACGGTGCATTTCATATGTAAAAACAAATCGGTCTAAAATGCATTTAATGAAATCTGTTTGTGTCAGATGGCTGTAAAGTGGTTTTCCTCACCAAGAGCCCCCTGGTCCTCGTGGGCGTATATCGGACATGCCAGTCAGACAAGGAGCTGCTGCGGGAGCTGCAGTACATCTATTACCAGATCGTCAGCCTGCTCACACTCACTCAGCTCAACCACATCTTCCAGCACAAGCAGAACTACGATCTGCGCCGCCTGCTGGCTGGTTCAGAGTATCTCACTGACAACCTGCTGCATCGGCTGGACAGGGACCCAGGCCTGCTGCTCAGCGCTGTCACCTGCCTGCCTCTGGCCACCTCCGCCAGGGATGTGGTGTCATCGAGCCTGCAGGCCGCCAAATCCAAAAACCTGGTGTTCTCCATCCTGCTGGCGGGCGACCAGCTGGTTACGCTGATAAGAAAAAAGGACCAGTTCCTGCACCACATAGACTTGCACCTAGTCTTCAACCTAGTTGGCTCCTCCTCGTCCTTCCGGGAGGGTGAAGGTTGGACTCCCATCTGCCTGCCAAAGTTTAACACTGCTGGATTTTTCCATGCTCACATTTCATACCTGGAGCCTGCGTCCAAGCTCTGCCTCATCCTGGTGTCAACAGACAGAGAGGACTTTTTTAACATGTCTGAATGCAAGCAGCGGTTCCTGGAGAGGTTAAGTAAGCGCAGTGCCTACCAGGCTCTAAAGGAGGCGCTAAAATCTCCCAGTTATTCTGTGGCACAGGTCGGCATCCCAGAGCTCAGGCACTTCCTGTACAAATCAAAGAGCTCTGGGCTGTACACCAGGTGGGTAGAATGTCTCTGGAATTAATTTAATGGTTAAATTTCTGTTTTAGTGGAAATCTGTATCGGTGCAAATCTTCAGGTGTTGCTCTCAGCGATATACTCTTCCTCCTCTTCCTCTAGTCCAGAGTTTCCTGTGGTGTACCAGTCTGATGAAGAACAGGAAAGGCTGATGGGTTTGTACCAGGACCTTCACAGCTGCTTGCACCATCCAACCAGACCCCTCTGTTCCTTCTACCGCTGTGGTGAAACTGAGAACCTGCTGGCATGGGTAAGACATTGTGACATGTGATGTTTTTTCTGTTTTTCAAAACTCTTTTCACAAAACGCTATGCACCAATTTTCTTCCAAATCTCACATTGCACATGATTTAACATAAGTGAACACATTGTGCATTTATCAAAGCATCTCAACGTTGTGTATCCTCATCATATTCTCATCATTAAATTTGGTCATTATCAAAACAACTTTTTATCCGAACAATGTATGCAGTTGTCAGCGCCACATAAGCATCTTTCAGACATGCACAGCCTCCGGAGTTTCTCCGCAGGGGTTGTTTGTCCGAGTCAGAGCCAGTTTCTGCAGACTTTCTCCGCCTGGCTGCCCAGTATAAAGTTCTCCGGAAGTCTGGAGGAGCCGATGTGTTTGAACACAGCAGGAAATGGTTAAAAAAACAAAACAAAGAGAAATATATCTGAGGATGAAAAAGCAGTACCATACCAACAGAAGACACCGCTAAAGATGTCAAGAGAGTTTGTGATGATAAGAGCTGACGCTGTGGTCAAACAACATCAAGTGATCTCCTCAGCAGAATTAATATGTTACATCCTGCCTCTGCCTGCTGCACCACCCCTCACCCCACCCCGCTCCAGATATTTCTGTGTTGTAAAAAAAATATGAGCGGAGATTATTCCGCTGCTTTGTTGTGTGAGGCAAACTCTAGAATATTCAGAAATGAGTTATAAACATTATGTTGCAATATTACTGTTGTAACGTTGAGGAGAAGTTTTTGAAAAGAGAGAAATGAACATGTGATCACAACTGCAGGCTGAATATGCTTTTATAAGAACAGCAATTTTTAAATCTAAAATAAAATTAGTCAGGTCAGTTTTGCTTTATGTGTTTTTCATACTGAAACTGAGCCAAAGCAATCACTGAGTTCTGCATTTGAATGGCTCTAGATACCACCAGTCTTTGTGTCTTGTGTCTTTTCTGCAGGTGACAAGCGGCTTCGAGCTCTACCTCTGCTTCAGTCCGCTCGGGACCAAGGCCCTGGCGATGTCTGCTGTCACCAAACTGCTGAAGTGGATCAGGAAGGAAGAGGATCGCCTCTTCATTCTGACTCCTCTCACTTACTGAGCCCTTCGCTGCCGACTGACCTCCTGGACCAGAAAGCTTTGCTCTGAACGCTGACCGGCCCGGTGCTAACAACAGCTGTGAATAAAGTAGAAGTAGTCCAGAATCCACATACTGTATGATTGTCAAAGTATTCATCTCTGGCTTCCGGGTTCTTCAGATGGAATTCACAGGTTATGTAGATAATGTGTAATGGAGATAAATTAAAGCTGTATTTTAGCTAACTAGATTTTTATACATTTTGATTTGGGTTGTGACAACAGAGGAAAGTAGCCTCAGCATCATCAAATAGTTTCATAAATGATTCTTTTACTGGAACAGACCTATTTTGCCTCTCAGATTTTAATGATATGAACACTTAAAAAACTCTTCAAATCAATAATAAAATTTGAAAGTTGGATGTTTTTCCAATACCTGCTGTACAATGTATTATTACAGGATATTTTGTTCAAATATGGTCGATAACATTGCTGTTTTTTCTGTGTTTTGACTTTACATGATGAATAATAACTGTAAGGCCCATCGTAATTTTCACCTCTATGCACTTTCTTTATGCAAAAAGCACTCTTAAGAAATGTGTTCATGAGTCTGCATCTTGTTTTACTGCTGTCAATTTGTTTCTATTAACATGTCAATGTAATTTGAATCTGTCTATTGGCCATTTGCATTTTCCTCAAGTTTTAAGGAATTTATCATAGACGTTTAGTGCGGTTTGTAATTGTTTTCTGCTTTTATATCTAATCATTAAACGTCATTATATTTTATGGACTTTGCTTAAGAAATGTAACATTGACACATCTGCCTTCTTGAATCATGCCTTAACTAATGGTCATTGTCAAGGCTTATTGCTGCGGCACATCTCAGTGATGATGATTATACTCCTAAATTAATGATATGTAATAAAACAGACTCCTGATCAGACAGTTTGTTGTGCTTGATTCTAAACATAAACTGTGCCATAGTTTTAAAAGTACTTTGTAGTAATCCTAGTTTCCATAAAGTTGTAAAGGTGGCTGTTTTTACAACCCTGTGGTCTCTCAGTGTAACAATACATTTATTATTTTACCTATTTCTATTCTACTTTCTACTTTATGGTTGTACCTGTATTTAAGGATCTCCCCTGTGTAGTGTATATATTTAAATGAGTAAGTAAGTGTCATATTTTTGGACAAATGCGGGTCTGTTGGTTAAACAATAAGTATGCTTGAATTAGTACCCAGATAAAAAAAACATGCATAAATCTCATGCAACTTACTCAACAATTATCATCATTACCATTGTTGTTTTTGCAGTTAGTAGTAGTATTAACATTATTCGTATTATTATTACTATTAACTGGCGCTGTTCTAATTAATAACATCATTACATCTATCTAAATATCACTCTTACTATTTTTATTATGACAACCAGCTACTCAAATGTTCCTGGACTTACAGTATCTCCTCTTTTCAACTTCTCTCCCCCATATTTCTCTGCTCACCCCAACCGGTCGAGGCAGCAGGTCTGATTCTGCTCGACGTTTCTTACAGGTCTCTCTCTCTGAACTGATGTGTTTCTCTACTATAGCCCATCTTGAGGGCTCCCCCATGTGAAGTGCCTTGAGGTAATGCATGTTGTGATTTGGCGCCGTTCAAATGAAACAGAATTGAATGTACGTTCCTGTGGAAGGAGTGTAAAGCAACACAATGCGTGTTAATTGAGTTTGTGGTTGGAGGCAGCAGTGATCCGTCAGCCCCGAGCTGAGGGGAGGAGCTGAGGCGCAGGAGACAGAGTCCCACCGGCAGCTGAGGTCACATCCTCCACCAGCTCAGTGTTCCTGTCAGGAGAGGCAGTGCCTTTAATCTTTGATCAGATGTAATCGTGTCATCTGCTGCGATCAGTGATCGATCATCCCTGCGCTCAGGCTACAGGCAGACAGGGCGCAGAGGAGTCAGTGGTTACTTCCCTGAAGCGCACAGCTCTAACCTGCACAGGTACGTTTTCACAACACACACACATACACACACACATACACACACACATACACACACTCACACACACTCACAGCTGCATGTGTGCCACATGCTCCTGACAGAGCTGAGTCTCTGGGAGCTCAAAACATTATCATACAGTGAGAAATTAAAATGTCCTCAAGTGAACTCAGGTAAGTTTAATGTGTTACTGAGGACACAGTTTTTATTATAATGTAAACTGAGATGTTGAGTTCATTGTAGGTAGTTATGTGTGTGGTATGTTCGTGAGAAAGCTATGATGAACACTGCTGTAAGGAGGCCATAGACAGTTTAATTGGCTATTCCATTTATAATGTGCATGAGTGAAAATATTCAATTTAACATTAAAAATGTACATTTCCAATGACATTTTTTTACTGGATTCATTTGCGTACATTTCTGTCAGTGGGTGTAATAGACAGCCCTGCCTGGCTGTAATCATTCCTAATGCTCACTGAGCGATTAGGTTATCCAACCTTTCAGGTTTTGTGCAGCTGTTGGAGTCAAACATCTTACATGTGGATTGGAGCCAGTGTGTGCTGGCACGATTCCACTACAATGAAAGCAGACTGTCTGAATTCTGTACAGGAGCATGAATGTAGACTGAAGATAAAAAAGAAGAGGCACACAAAAAATTATTTCATTTTAAAAAATAAGGTAAAGTATTACGAAATTAAAATAAAGTTAAAGCAGACCTACAATCTGTCCACACTGAGGGTTTCTGCTGGGTCTGCACTGCCTTAGGATTCATTACCTGCCACTGAATCAATACATGTGTCCTTTGGGTACAATATGTTTTTTACTATTGACCCAGCAGCTTGCATGTTAAAATCCCAGTGGATCTCTGTGCTTTGATTAATGAAAGAGGGATGCTCTTTCTTACTCGTATTACCTGCAGCCAAAGTGCCAGTAAGCAAGGCATTGATTAATCTATGTTATGGTTTGCACTCCTCTCACAGCCCCTCCCCCCCCTTTTATCTTTTGTAAATTGTAATTTACAAAAGATAAAAATAAACAAACCACAAAAGAGAAGTCACTAAATATGTAAATATGACACACATTTGGTTTGACATTTGGTTCCCAGTGTATCTGCATCTTTAAATCACCTAAGAGAGAATTAACACTTGAACCGGCCCGTAAATAGCGTGATAGCACAATGAATGGAAACTCAATTTCAACCATTTGCTTTATTAACCATGAACATGAAGTCAATCAGTGCCATTACTATGTGTACACATGTCCTCTAACCTCAACCTCAGTTTCACACGGAGCAGCAAATGTTAAAATGTAACACAACATCTATGAATTATTGATGCAACGACATTAGACACTTGACTTCAAACATTTCCACATGATAGTGAAGAGAGACATCATAAGTGCTGACAATTTGTGTCATAAAGAACTTTTCTCTGCTTTTAAATAAAATAATCGGAGTTGATGAAATTCTCCGGCACGAGTCGATGACTAGTTTCATCTTGGCTTCACCTAAGAAGGCACACGCCGTCTTATGACCATCAGTCCATACACATCTTTCCCCCTGAACGGCACGTAGTGGTTGTGACAGGAATGCAAAACAGAGAGGCCAACGGTAGTTGAATGCAGCCAGACTGTGATGTGTTCAGATCCTTGTGAATTAGTTATCGTCCTTTGTCGTGTGAACAAAACTGGATTTTGAGAAGCTCACAGTGGCTAAGCAGCCAGACTGTGATGTGTTTGGTTAATCATCCACCAAACAAACATCTGCTCTGGATGGAGAAAAAGCTCGGAGGTCGAAACATGGTTCCATTTGGATGGTTGTTGTTCAGAGTTTGAAGGTACAGAAAAAAAATCTCATCTCTATTTAATAAATTTGTTGCTGAACCAAAGCCATGGAGTCTTGTATAAAAGAACATGACTCATATTTGGAGAAAAGAAGATGGGATGTCAGATTAACCAGAACAAACATAAGCAGAAAGATATTAATGACCTGTGCAGGAAGTTGCAATAAAAATAGTTTTATCCACAGTCTACTACCAACACTGACCCCTCTTTGATTATGTAAACATTTTCTCTGAGCATCTGTCGTGAATCAGAGGAAGCTTTTATTTTTATGACCACATGTGCTCTCATCATCATCTGGCTCCACCACGATGATGATGTTTGTCACCTCAGATCCATCAGGATTCAACAGAAACATCATTAAGAACTCTCATTTTGGTTTTTAATGTTTCTTCACTTTTAAATAATGCTCACTCTTGGTTTGCATATGTTTCCATGAATAATATTTTTCTGTCTGGTCTCATGCAATCATTTATAGTGAAGCAGGAGGAGATGCAGGAGGTTAAATAACTGCAAGAACAATTATACAGATAATCAGTAGGTTTTAAGCATTTGAAGAAAAAACCTGAAGGTTAACCGTCTAGCGTTTTCTAGAGCTGTCAGCTGCATCTCTACATTGAGAGGGGCCCTGTTGTTGGCCCCCGACCCCACAACACATTGGGGTTTCATTGTTTTGCTTTACAGACAGGATTTATTTTTTTCGAACATATGTTGGGAATGTTTGTTGTTTGCTGTGGCTTGTGTCTTACTTCCTTATATTGATATTTAAAAAAATCAAACATGTTCAAAGTAAAACCTAACATAACCTCAGACACCCAGAAGTCAAACGGTACTCAGCACAGATCATTTCATAAAAAATAATTTATAAACAAAACTGTTGATTGATAACTGTTAGTCAAAAAAAATCACTATTATCAGCAAAGTATTTTCCCAGTACCTAATAGTTTTTGAATTTGAAACAGCACCCCATCCACAAGATACAGCCACAAGATGAAAGATAGTTGATAACTTATGCTTTGTTTAAAACTGATAACAAATATTTGATCGATCAAATTGACATGATTCATTGGTTAATTGATTGTAAATGATAATGGGGCAAACCTGCAGCCTCAGGACAGTTGTGGGCAGTTGCCTGCTTTGCTCAGTTGGTAATAAAGTCACACGCTTCTCCTGCTGAGTAGCGAGGTTTGATTTATCCTTAATTTTGTGCTTTGTCACCTAATTTGCCTTAGATGAGAAGATAGAGACAATCTCATGAATGCCTATTAATTCTGACACTGACGACAGTTACATTAATATAACTTAAGGGTGGAAGAAAGGGAAACAGCTAGCCTGGCATTGTCCAAAGGTTCAAACTGAATAACAGCACCTCTAAATGTGAAGAATATCA